CTTCTAAATTGTCGCCAGAAAAGGCGTGGGAACCAAAATAACCAAAGTTCTCATGAGGCTGGAGTCGTAGAATTAGGATACAAAATTAAGCGCCTCACGACTCGGGTCTCTGTGTAAGGCCTAGTAAGTCGCTCGAAACTTCTGCGTGAACTCAGACACTCATCGGGGATGAAGGGATTAGCTAACCTTTAGGCTATATTATGGACTGAAGAACTTTACCCTGTTTGCAGCTGAACTTCTCGAATATCCTCTTTGAATGCCCTCTTCCTGTTCCTCTACAGGCTACTGGCCAAAGGGAAGCCCAAAGGCGCCCGAAACACTGACAGAGTGCGTTTAGCCGAGCCGAAAGCCGCCGCCACGCTTCCCTCGTGATACATCTCCTACCTTTCTTTCCTATGGACCAAATCTTGAGTGATCTACGATTTTTTGTACACGTCTTGCCCCGGTAATCATGCACACGTCTACATTTTGGATCCTCCCACCGTGTGCAGTGATTTGCAGCATCTTCCTGTTGTTTGCATCGAGAACTTATATTCAGTTTGTACTAACATTTTATTAGTAACAAATTACAAAATATAAATATTTGAAATAAAAGTTTTGTGCAGTCTTGCGACGGGATATGCAGGAGACTCGCATGCGTATGTACAGTGGAGGGGGGGGGCTCAAGAACTCAGTTCTTCACTGTCTGAGATCCCATCAGGTGGTTCGCGCACTGCAATTTTCCCACGTGCTCCTCGAACTCGGTTGTGCTGGCAGACTGGAATTTGCAGACAGCACATCTTTTGAGCTTGAAGACAAAAACGATTTTTTTGGTCAAACTACGTTTATGGAAAAAATTAAATATTGTGGTGAGCAATACAGATTCATATGGGCACATTGCTTTCTCATGCATTGCCGGTTACTATTTAACGGGGCTTGTGTCGACGATATACTACTCAATAATGCAGCTTTATTTTCCAGGCGTACGATGGGGGGTAATTTGATACTTCGTTGACTCTGCAACTGAATACTAACTGAAAAAAAACTATCCGCCTTTCCTTTCCAGAAGAATATAGGTGAGAGAGTCAAGTTCACCAACAGGATGACTTTAGTCAGTTCATGTTCTTGTCCACTGAACACATACCAAGATAAAAGGTCTTGGCCTATCCTTATAAAATCACAAATTGGGAAGAGGACAATACGATATAGTAGGGACGCGGACATCGCCGCGGTTACTACCAATCCGTAATAATTCTCGTTCTATCCGCCGGCATGCGTGATCCCTACCTGTTTTTTGCAGTGTGTTAACCTCGGACAAATCTTTTGTTTTTTCCTGGCCACTAGAGGCATTCTGAACAATGCGGCACATTCGAGTCGTACACTGGGACTAAATTCCATCGCCCCGCATAAACGCGAGCATTCTTTCTGCATACTTTCCTGTTGGCTATGGGAAATCATGGGATACTACATTTATTTCAACAGTATTCTGAGACGGAAACAGCAAAAAATCAAAATGCACTGTGGAAAGTAATAACACATCCCCTGGTTGAGCAACTCAGTTTCTCTAAAAATATAAACCTATTCTTGCATCGAAAAGATACGGCAATAGGAAACCCTCTTCCGAAATACTCAGACGGACCTC